GAGCTGAACAGGCATCTGAGATAGAGGACTTGCTGCAGTGCCTATTCAAGCCCAGCAGCCACTCTGTTCTCCTGTCATGTCCTGGCCCACCTGCTTTGAAGGTACAGGATTCACCAAGGCCCAAGGCAGAGATTCTCCTCCAAGGGCCAGGGCCCTGGACAATTCAGGGAAGCTAGACTTCTCAGAGCCCACAACCACAGCCACTGACATCCCGTGTTCACAACCTGCTTGCACGTGAATTACATCACCTCACTGAACCCTCACACCTGCTCCAGCTGGGGCCCATTTCCACTGCCCGCCCATTTCACAGATGAGAACACAAAAATCACGTGTCCTCCAGTGTACCACTAATAAGGAATTATGCCACTTGCATGCATTTATTCGGCACCCATTAATCACATGCTTGCTATATGTCAGGCACTTTTGCTTAGGCCAGGCCACCAGGTGGAAAGCAACTACAGCAGAATCTCAAGCCAGGATTTTCTGACTTTAGACCTGATGCTCTGACTTGCTGAGTCTACAGCCTCTAGGATTGGAGGGAACAGGGATGCAGGCACCCCAGAAAGTATGCAGGACCATCCACTGAAATGGAGGAAGAAAGATAAGGCACTACAGTTCTCACATCGGTCCTGTGCTTTTTTATTTCTACTTTTGCAGGAAGTTCTACGAGTAGCACCCCACCAGGAGAGTAACATATGCACAATTTAAAATTACATACATATTGGGCCAGGGATTTAGCTCAGTGGTGCCGCCGCCTGCCACGCAAGGACACGAGTTCAATCCCCAGTACCAAAAAAAAATTGCACACATATCATATGTATCATATGTAAGCGGCAAACGTGCATACATGCTACGGTACATGGGGCACATGAGACACTGCAGGCATCCTGCTGCTTCGGCGAGGGTGCCTTCTGGCTGTGAGCTGTAGTGTTAGGGACAGGGACTCAGGACCCCAAGTGCCCAGGCTCCAGGCTTGCCCGGCCACTTACAGACACAGGCCTCTCCGTCCAGAGCCTGACTTCAAGGGTCCGGGCACAACCCAGCAGATTCTAACACAAGGTCAGGATTAAGCGTCACCGGCTGTCAATACATTTTGCACATTTATTACTCCACCACTTTATAGAGCTAGAGAACCTTGGGAACCCATCCGAATGACACTGCTTTAAGGTTAAGAGGCTCAACTCTCCGTCAAATCTAAGGCCACCAAAAGGGCAGAGGGCCTTTCGTCTGCCAGCTAGAGTGACACGGTTCCATAGTGAAGAATGATTGGAGCAACTTTATCCCCACTTCCTGTGCCTCCCTGACAAGGCCCTGCTCAATTCTAGCCTGAATTTCACCTCTTCAGCTGCACCTGGCGACGTTATTTGTCCAAAGCAGGCTCATTAAGGCCTGTTCCTAACTCGACGCAGATGTCTCTGAATGTCCCACGTGTTCAGCGAACCTGGTCACTTAATGTGGAGCCCTATTTTTAGTAAGCACCAAAAAAAAAGTTACTGTATCACAGTACCTCATTTGTCCCTATCTGTTTAACAGGTTTTGTCCCATTTTGGCCTGGGGGCCAGGCAAGGGCAGGGACCACATCTCATTTATCTCCACACCCACAGGGCCTGACACAAAACCAGCATTCACTGTGTGCTGAAAGAATGGGTGGGGAGCAGGTGTTCCTACACTGCTGTGCAGCAGCATTAGGGAGCTGGCCACAGAAGGGTCTGCCAACTCCCATGGAAAGGACATAAGATGCAGTGGGCAGCAGTGTACAGGGGAGAGGTGCGTATGTGCCACATGCACACACATGGTGTGCACTCCCTTAGAGTGTGTGCATATGCACACATGTGTGAGTGTGTAGCATCTGTGGCTTTCATGGACTTCTCAAAGGGCTGAGACCTCAACAGTCTACGGACCACAGGAAGAGACTATGATCAGGAGGAGTCTGTTTGCCCTTCGGAAAGGACAGAGCTGGTGCCATATGCTTTAGCTTACCAGGAATCAAGAAAGGGATGCACCAGACCTGCTGTGGCAAACCCAAAGTGAGAACCCCTCAACATGTCTGTCTCCAGCACAGCACCTAGGTGACGTGGCACTTCTGGCGGTGACCAGGGGTTCCCAGGATCCACCTGTCTCTTCCAAGGTATTACAGGTTGGGAGGATTAGGAATTAAGAATTCATTGCATTCCAAGTGTGCACAGGGGAACTGAATCTGTGAGCTGTCTGCTGACGGCAGCCCATTTCCCTTTCCCATGGTGGGGCCAAAGCCAGCCAGGACCTCCACAGCTGTGTCCCTACTCTGTCACCATGTATGTAGCTGACCCTTCTGCTAGAAAAAAAAAAAAAAGTGTGCTTTTTGTGCATCCCTAGGCAAATAAATGTGAAAACCAAGATAGATGAAATAGATAATCTCTTAGAAAGATACAGGGTTACCCAAACTGACTCCAGTAGAAATAGAAAGTGTAACAGACACAGCAGAGAAAGCTATCAAGAAACAGCCCCCCAAGAAAGCATCAGAGCCCAATGGGTCCACTGGGGATTCGGTCACCACTTTAGAAACCAGTGACCTAAAGATGCATAACTTGTTCCTGAGCACAGAAAAGAAACCCAAAGCAGACTGCACACCAAAAAAGGACATTACAGACCAACATCACTCAAATGCTGCTGAAAAAAAAAATCACAAATATTGCATTATGAAACAGATGCCACTACCACAAGAAAATAACATGCAGTGACCAAGAGGAGTTTATAGCAAGAAGGTTTCAATATTAGGCAGCCTATTAATACAATCCAATACAGAAGCAGGTCTAAGAAGAAGAATGTTTTTAATAGCTTCTGATGGCAGCACAGTAGAGTCAGCCCCCAGGAGGAAAAGTGACATGGTGGGCTTTGAGAGGCTAATCTGAGATGTTCCCACTATGGGCCTGGTTCTACCTCTACATCACCTCTTTATGCTTCTGCAGGGTGGACCTCCCCCAGAGCCAACGCTGCCCTTCATCTGGCCACTGGGCATGGCCCCAGAGGACAGCATCCTGGTGATGCACGTGAGCTGTTAGCCCTAACTCTGGATACGACCTTGGCAAAAAAAGCCAAGGAAGGTTCCACCGACTGCCTCAAAAGCACAAGGTCCTGAGTTCGATCCCCAGTACCAAAACAAACAAAAAAATCCAAGGACAACATCCACAGTAACAAATCATGTTGACAGTATGGACCCTTGATACCATGGGACGAGAAGGACACTGTACTTTGTGTTCTTGCCAAAGACCCATAGCTATATTCCCATCATGAGAAAAATATCAAATAATCCCAAATGAAGGGCAGTCCTCAATATACCTAACTAGTACCCTTCAGAAATGTCAAGGACAAAAAAAAATTCTGTCTCTGAAAAAGTATGGACCCTAGCTAATAATAATGTGTCTGTCTTGGTTCATTAGTTATAACAAATGTATGGTACCAAACTAATGTAAGATGTTAATAATACAAGGAAATTGGGTACTGGTTGTATGAGAACTCTCTGTGTTATCTCCACAGAAGATACATCTGAAACTGCTCCAAAAAATAAAATTATAAAGAAAATATTCCTGGGCTTTCATCATGGTCATTAAGATACCCATCTGGTGGCTACCAGGCATCATTTGCCAAGAAAAACTATAAAAAGTACCTCCCACCAGACCTGGCTTTGGAAACGATTTCCCCGGAAATCCTCACCCTCCACCCCCACCCCTCAAATAAAAGCTGATTGTGAACCTGGGAGGGGTACAGGTATTAATTCCTTGCAAAACATGACTTTAATCTTAATGAACAGAAGAAAGACCACTGATGTTAGCCTGGATCGTTTGCAGATCCTTAATTGTATCTTTTCAAAGCAAAGGATGTTCTCCAGATTGCAATTCTAGAACATGGGTCTCTTTTGCTGGGTAATTATTTCCATCTCCAGCCAAAACACAAAATTGTTACTAATTGCCATCTCCAGGGATCCAAATGAAGGTGATGCTCAAAGTCAAAGCAGGCCCCTCGCGAAGATGACCAGGGAGGACACTCAGGAAAGGGAGGTTAAAACGTCTCCCTTCAGCTTCCTAACATAGCGTTCCGGGGAAACACTGAGCCACTATTCTCTCTGACAGGCTTCATGCGCCAGGCAGCCAGCACAAGCCCTTCCTCCGAACCACTGCCCATGCAGGCAAGCCCGGAGGCATCTGGAAATGACAGCAGCCTCGGCCCTGAGCCTGCTCCAGGCAGCTGCTGGGCTGTCAAAATCAGGAAGCCTGGTTGGGGTTTTCGTTTTTCCAAGACAACCTGCTAACTAGAAAAATACAGAGAGGCTGGGCACAGGACCTCCCCCGCCTCCCTCTAACCAATGCTCGGTTAAACACGAGAAATGACACGGGGGCACTGGGCCCAGCCCGGGAAGTCCCCAGCACCCGGGGCCAGAGGGCAGCTGAAAACACACACTGGCTCTCTACAACCGCCCCATCCATGACGAGGATGTGAGTCGATCCCTTAGCAAAGCTCACTCGGTCCCCTTGGGGCTGAGTGGTGAACGCAGCAGCAGAACCCAGAGAGGAAATGGGCCGGCCTCGTCACACCGCCCGAGCAGGAGACTCAAGCAGCCTCTTCCTCGGTTTGTTTCAGCGAAGTCCCCCGAACACCACACTCACGGGGTGTAGGGGCAGCTGTGTCACTAAGGGGCCGGAGGCAAGGAGCTCATCCACACCCTTTGTGCATCCACCCTCTCCGCCGACCCACTCTTTGCTCGCCTCGCCTCCTCCCTCCAAAGGCAGGCACAGTAATCACTTCCACTGCCTCTGAAGGCCACTCCAGGCGGGGGGCCGCAGGGCCGGGACCTCCCTCTTTAGAAGTCACAGGTAACTGGAAACTGATCCCAAAGCGGCAAGAGGGGCCTAGCGCCCCCGGCCCCGCCTCGGTAGGGGCACCCCGTCCCCTCTCCAGGCCCCGGAAAGGGTGGCCCGGTGGCCTGGGGACCGCTGAGGGGCCCTGCGCCCCCGCCCACCGACCTTCGAAAGGGTTCACATAGTCATAGTCGAAGAGGATGGAGAAGTCGAACTCGTCCTGGGGGCTGCCCGCGGGCTCGTGGCCCGGGGCGTTCCGGCCGTCGGGGTCGCACTTGGGCTCCGGGGCGTCCATGGCGCGCGAGGAGGCGGGAGGGCTGGGGCCGAGGACCGGCGTGGCTTGCTCCGCGGGCCTCCCTCGGGGTGCCGAAAGGACTCCGGGCGGGGAGGAAGCCGAGGGGCCGGGTCACGTTCCCCGTGGGGACGCACGCCGGGCCCGGGATGGCGCGCCTGGCGCAGCGGGTCCTGACGCGCCCGGAGCTGAGCGGTGGCGGCGGCGGCGGCGGCGCGAGCTTCCTGCTCCGGGAGGCACCTGTTGCAGCCCTCGCAGGGGGCGGGGAGGCGGGGACAGGGCGGCCGGGCCGGCGGGGGCGGGGCGGCACCGGGCGGAGGGGGAGGCGCGGCCGGGCTGCCCGAGCCCCGAGGGAGGGAGGAGCCCGCGCCGCGCCGGCCCTGCTGTCCCCGCAGGCCGAGCGCTTGGGGGCCGCTGCCTCCCACCTGCCTGAGGGTGGTCCCGGGCCGCCCTGCCTGAACCTGAAAGCTGCTGCCACTTGTAGTTTTGCCCTAAGGGAGCGCACACTGATCGCTTCCTTTCCTCCGGGGCGGGGGTACTCCCTCTTTTGCAGTCTCCTGTCTCCAGGGGCTTTGGTACACAGCTGTGGCAGGCTTTGCATGCTCCTCACTGCACGCCTTGAACTCAGTTTCCCAGGGTGGGAGAAAGAATCGCAGATGCTCTGAAAGCAGCAGTCCCTAGCCACCTACTGTGTGCCAGGTGCTGGGACCCCGGCGAGAACAAGCCGCTGTTGCCCTGGGAACAAACACAAAGATCAACACCCCTTCACCTGGATGCCAGGAGAGGACTCACCAGGGGGCTGGGGAGCCTTCAGTCCTTGGAGGTCGGGAGGGCCTCTTTGTGGATGAACTTAAGGAGCCTGCTTGATGAAGGCCTGGGCTTCAGTTCCCTCAGAACGAACTGAAGGAAGAGCAGGAACTGGAAGGTTTGCCCATGGGAGCTGGCAGATGACAGGTGTATCTGATTCCCAGGCCCCCCGGGGAGCTTCTGATTCCACAAGTCTGGATTAAAGGCTCGGGAATGTGTGTTTTTAATCCAGCAACCAAGGTGAATGCTACAGAGGTATGACTGGCAAACCCTGTGCCACCCACGATAAAACTCTTCTGGGGGAGTCCTCTCAACTTCAGATTTCTGAGGCTGGGAAATATAGGAGGTAGAAACAGAATGGAGTATCGGCCCCAGCCCTCACAGTACGTTAGAATAACCTGGGCTCTGTGTGTGTGTAGTGGTACTGAGGACTGAACCCAAGGCCGTCATCCTCAGCCTTTTTTTTTTTTGAGACAGGATCTCCCTAGGTTGACCAGGATGAGCTCAGACTTGTAATCCACCTGTCTCAGCCTCCCAGAGTGCTAGGATTACAGGTGTATGCCACTATGCTCGGCTCATCTGGGACATATTTAAATGCCAGGGGCCTGCGCTACAATCTAAACCCACTGAGCTAGAATGTCAAAGACTTTCTTAAAAAAACTTCAGATGAATGTAAAGTGTGGCCAGTGTTGAAGAGCAGAATATTCTCTGAGAGAGGTCCTCAGATCCCCAAGAGAACCATGCCTTGGTGTCAGTGCCTAGACCCCTGCCCCGTGTGCCAGGAAGGAGGAGGATGTGAACTCTTCAGAAGGAGACAGCTCTGTGCCACTGAGGGGACTTGTGCAAAGCTACCCAGCATCATTCTGTCTACACATGTTCACTGTTCATTTGCCAGCTACCTGGCACTGCTACAGACATTGGGAATACAGCCATGGCAAGAGCCATCTCTACCTGGATCATGCTTATAACCTGGAAACCAAAAAACACAGGTGTGAATGGGATTTCCAATTGCACTTACAGGAGCAGGGCTTAGCTATGCCATTCAACAGAATCAACTGGAGAGCTGTCACCACATTTAAGTACTCGGGCCCCACCAGACACCAGTCTAACCAGAATGTCTGGCATCGCCATCGGTGTTTTGCAGAAGCTTGCCAGAAGCTTCCAATATAAGGCAGAAGTGACAACCACCAGTTTAGACTCCAAGCACATCGCAGGGGCCTGGAGCTGGCCCCATACACATTCCAGAGTCCTGCAAAGCACTTTCTGGTTCTCAGAGCATTAAGAACTCCCTTTCTTTTTTGCTAACCAGAAACACCCCTGTACTGTGTGTGCAACAAGCATCTTAGGAGATGACTGATAACTTTAGGTGGCAGAAGAGGGAATGGTGACTCCAGCTAAAATCCTGAAAGATAGAAGGAGATGGATTCTCTTGGGCCCTTATGACAGGGACCAAAAGTCCAGACACTGAAATTTGGTCGGAGGTAAAAAAGGGAACCAGCCTCCTCTGCTGCTGCAGAAAAGGAGAAGAGTCGTGGGTAATACCACCCCCAGCCTGTCCTCCGCTGGTCCCTGTCCTGTAAGTCCTTTCCTGGTGACTGTCTCTTGACTATCCCTATGCAGAATCATTCCTCTCTTCTAATAAGAGGACCCCAGTGGTGCCAGGACTCGAACTCAGGGCCTCGGTACATGTTAAGCACATATGTTACTACTGTGCTACACCCCACATCCCCTAGAAAGCTACTGTTAACATAATCTTGCTGGAACTGCAATACAGCTGTCCCACCATGGCCACCACCCCCAACAAAGAAGTAGGTAAAAGACCCAGGCTGGGCAGGTCAGAGTTTTACCTCCTCTAGCCTATGAGAGCCGCTAATGCAGCGACCAGGAGTGCCTCATTAGCAGTTGCCTGTGCAGTGGATGTGGGGATAGACGGCAGTTAGACGGAGTGGATATCTGGAAGGATAGACAGGGTACGACTCTGCTCGACTGGCTAAGAGCCTTCAATTTCTCTTGAAGGATCAACTGCTAGGACAAGAACCTAAATCCTTACCCTCTCAACCCTCCTTTGAGATACACAGTAAAGATAAGATCATGAAGGGATGGTCACTTCATAAGTGCTACAAGAACTTCAGCCTTAGGAAGAATTGTTTGCAACCTTTTATGGAAAACTCTAGCTGCCTCAGCTGTCCCTCTGACCAGTGGTACCTTCTCAGCGCTTCTAGGGTTTGCAGCTTGTGCTAAAGCAATCAGTGCCTTCAAGGGAAGGACTTCGGACCAGGGCCTGGCCCACGGCAGAACTGTTGGAGCCAAGGAGTGAGAGCACCTGTTGCCCTAGTGGCCAGGTTGAAGGGTGGGGCTTTGGGTTGAGGAAGGCATATTTTCACTTCCAAAATAAACACTGTGCTCTCAGGAGCCAAGGCCAGGAGCAGAACACATGGCTTTTACGCATCAAGAGACAGCGCAGGTAGGGATGGGAGGGGGACCTGACAGAGCCACCTCTGTCAACCTTCTCTCTGCCCTGTGGCTGACCCTGTGCAATGATCCTGGCCTTTACATTTGTCCCCAGTCTCTTCCGCAAAGTGTAGTGGGAAACTAATGAAGCCACTGAGAGTCTGAAACTTCTAGCAAATATTGGTACTGTTTGACCCTGACCCCGGAATTCAGTTCAGCTGGCCTACGTCCCAACACATAATTACAAACTGAGATAGTACCAGGAAAGGAAAGGAGGAAGTGTGACAAGGGGACCAGATGTAGGCAGAGAATTTAGGGACAGCTTCACTAGAGAGGGAGTTTTAAGCTGGGACCAGAAGGTTGAGTAGAAGATATCCAGGGAATAGTGAGGGGAAGAACAGACAGATGGGAAAGTACAGTATGTGCAAAGGCCCTGGGGCAGGGAGAAATATGAAGTACTGGGGGCCTGATGGAAGACTTGGGTAGCAAGTGCTCAGACAGTAGCCTGGGGGAGACCTCCTACCCACAGCTCCACCCTCCTTTCCACCTTTTGGCATAAAGCTTATTTGAGCTGCAACCCGGAACTCTCTAGGAGAGCTGGACTCATATCCAGCTGCCAATCCAATGTCTCACCTGGGTATCCGAGAGGCACCTCAAAGTGGGTGTGTCTAACGCCAAATCCTTCTGTCCTCTGAGCCGCTCTCCGCCACCCCTCCCCAGCTCCCCTGCCACTCTCTCGTTCATCCAGTCCTCCACCAAAAGGCAAGGGGTGACCTGCGAGTCTCCTCCTTCTCCCACCCGAGTCCAAGCCCGCACCCACCCTCTCTCACTGGACAGCTGCAGCAGCCCTTCCTGCACCTGCTGCCTCCATTCCCCCAGACACGGAGCTCAGGTCCCAGAAGGACCCTTAAACACGTACATCCGGTGAAGCCTCCAGTGGCTTCCTGTCACACTTAAATCCAAAGGCCAAGGCCATGCTTCCAGGCCCCATGTCAGCTGTCCCCACCCCGGCCCTCTTTGCTGTTGTGTCCTGACATCTGGTCCTCCTCACACTCCCTCTGCTACCCCGATCACCCTCCTGCTCCTGGAAACACCCAGCAGGGCCCTACCACAGCCAGGGCCTCTTGTCACCTCTGACACGGCCCTTGTCATACGTATTTCTCAGCTCAAATGCCACCTCCTCAAAAAGACCCTCCCTGCCTTTCCCCATAGAAATGACAACGCCTGGCAGCTTCTGTGGCCTGTCCCTGCTTTATGTCTTGATGACCTTTATCCCTACAGTATCTTTTATTCTTATGGATTTTGGGCCATCTACTTCTTGTCTTTTGCTTGAACCTGAATGTAAGTCCCATGAGCACAGGGGGATTTGTCTGGGGTTTGTTTTTTTCTCTCTATCTCCTCTAAGTTGGCCAGAATCAGCAAATAAAAATGGAAGACACACCCAGCTAACTCTGAATTTTAGAAATGAGTGCTTTTTTAGTATGAGTATGTTCCAAATATATGGGGCATATTTAAGCTAAAAAATTACCCACTGTTTATCAGAAATTAAAATTTAATTGGGTGTGTATTTTTCTGGCCTTTTTTTTTTTTTTGGCTGCATCCCCAGATCCTCACATAGTACTGAGGATATGGTAGGGACTCACCAAAGCATAGCTGAGAAAAGAACAGAAGGATGGGTCTCCGTACAACGTCCCCCCAAAAGACCAGCCAGGGTGAATCCATCATAAGAAGAAGCCTGCGTTGCCCAGTTTAACGAACTGGACACCGGTGGTGTGAAAATCGGCATGTTTAGCACTCTTGTGCTACTGCTTCTGACCCGACTACAATACCTTCAAACATTTTTGCATAAGCAACATTGCATCTGACTCAACGGCTTCAGGGAAATTCTGCCTGCATATTATTTTTAAAGGACAATAAAAAGAACTATTGTCTGTACAGGAAAATATCCTGCTCC